TTTTCATAAATTAACGCAGGAAAACTTACTTAGTGAATCATATGAAAAATAACTAATTTGACATGTGGCACACTCCTATAACCCCAGCTACTCCAGAGGCTGAGGCAGGAGGATGGAGGCTAGCCCTGGCAATTTTGTGAAACTCTGTCTCAAAATGAAATATAAAGGGTTGGGATATAGCGTAGTGGTAGAATGCTCCTGGGTTCAATCTCCAGTACTGAAAGAGAGAAGTAAATTTGGAGGTTACAAAATGCTCTGAAGAATTATAAATATGAGTTTTTGAGAAGAAAACAAACATGTTAGTAATGAAGGCTACTGCGTGATTATTTTTAGAAACAGGGCCTCTTAGTTGGCAAAGCATTTAAAAAGGTTTGAAGTCCAATGGTTTAAGGAGAGGCACAACTTCTAGTCCTAGTTTACTTCCTATTAAATTGGTTTAGGGGCCAGGGATGTACCTTAGTGGTGCCAACCCTGCCAGGCAAGCACAAGGTCCTGAGTTCGATCCCCCATACCAAAAAGAAAATAAAAATTGGTTTAAAATGTGGCTTCTTGGCTGGGTGTGGCGGTACACACCCCTGTAATCCCAGCACTGTAATCCCAGCATTTGGGAGGCTGAGACAGGATTGTTGCTAGTTCAAGGCCAGCCTGGGCTACATAATGAGTTGAAGGACCTGAAAGACAGCTAGACCCTGTCTTTAAAAAAAAAAAAAAAAACTATCTATCTATCTATCTATCATCTATCTGATTTTTAAACCTGGTGTGGTGGCACACACCTGTAATCCCAACAGGTGGGAGGCTGAGGCAGAGGGATTGCTGAAAATTGAGACCAGCCTGAATTATAGACCCTGTCTCAAAAAAAATTTTTTTTTCAGTTTTCTGTTTTTGTTTTATTTTGTGTGTGTTCTGAGGATCAAGCCCAGCATCTCACACATTCTAGGAAAGTCCTCTACCACTGAACTACTCCCCTGACCCCTTTGTTTTAATTCTTTAAAATTTTTTTTTCTTCCACTACTGAGGATTTAACCCAGGGACTTTGCATTGGGCTACATCTGCAGCCTTCTTTCAGAACTTATTTTGAGACCGGCTCTGTCTAAGGCACTAAATTGCCTGGCTAGGCTCGAACTCTCCATTCTCCTGAACTGCTGGGATTACAATTTGTGGCACCACACCTGGCTTGGAAGGAACATTTTGAAGTTATCATTAAATTTCTTTGAATGGATTTCTTTGCCTTGTAATGGAAAACCTTGTCTAATGGTTTCAGCTGCTTTGACCTCTGTGCACCAAAACAGGCTCACAGCCAGCACAAGTTCTAGTGGTGACCAGTTCTGCACCAGAAGTACAGTTGGGGGAAGGGAGTCAGAGGAAGCGGGAGATGCTTCTGGAGATGTTGGCCATGCGCAGACACAGGATGAAGGGCACTGCAGTCTGTGCAAAGGCACTGGGGCTTGTGAGAACCCGGGACACAGAGGATCCCAAATTCACTGCAGCTTCCTTCAACATGCCTCTGGCCTCATGAGTGACCCTGGACTTGCAGCCCAGTGACTACACTGTGCTCACAGAGGCACCTTCCAGGCCAGACAGGGTGGAACTCGCAGAGGAGCGAGGTGGGTACCTTGGCTAAGATCCGTGCCCACAAGGAAGCCAGGGATGCAGGGGCATGGGGGGGCAGGGCCGTTACACCGCAGAGTCCCAG